CATCCAGTTGGCACATACAAAGACAGTCAAGACCAAGTGTTTGCCAAGATGTGAAGCCATGGGAACTCTCAACCACTGCCAGTGGGAGTGTAAGTTGGTACAAATGCTTTAGAAAACAATTACCAAGTAAAACCCACTCCTTAGAGCAGCAGTTCTCAAAGTTTTGGTTTCAGAACCTCTTTCTAACCTTAAAAACTACTGATGGCCTCAAAGAGCTGTTGTTCATGTGGGTTATATCTATCAATATTTACCACATTAGAAATTAAAACTCAGACTTTTAAAAACAAAAATATACAAGTATACTTGATTAGCTGCCAGAGTGATGATGTTATCATACATCTGGAAAATTGTGAAAAAATGAGAATGAAATGAACAAATATTGCCTTAGTAGTATTACGAAAATAGTTTTGTCCTCATAGACCCCTCCCAAAAAGGTCTCAGGGACCCCCAGGGGTCCCTGAACCACACTTTGACAACAACTGTCCTAGAGCAACTGCTGTAAAAGTGCACCAGGAGACAATACAAGAAGTCATTCATTCCTCAGATATTTATTGAGCATCTACCTGGTGCCAGACATTGTTCTAGACATTGGGAATATGGTAGAGTACAGAACAGACAAAACTTCTGCCCGCACACAGCTTACATTGTAATTGGGCAGAATGTTCATAGCAGCATGGTTTGTAATTGCAAAATGCTGAAAACAACCGAAATCTCCATAAATAGAAGAATGGATAAATAAATTGTGAAACAGTCATACAATCAAATATCATACAGCCGTGAAAACATGAAATACAGTTACATGCATAAACATGGATAGGAATCTCAAAAACAATGTCAGAAAAAAGAGGTCACAGAAGAATACATACAGCATGATTCCATTTACATAAAAGTTCAAAAACAAGTAAATCTAAACAATATATTATTAGGAATACATACATAGACGGTAGAGTCACAAATAAAAACATAGGGAATTATTAACAAAAAATCCAGAAGAATGTTTACCTTATATAATCTATGGAGGGAGAACAAATGGGGGATTCTAGGCAGCTGAGAATGTTCTAGTTCTTAAGCTGAAGGTTGAGTACATGTGTGGCCATGTTATTTTTTAAACCATACATACACAATATACTTTTGTATGTATTACTTCACAACAAACATTTTAAAAGAAAAAAGATACAAGGTTATGCAATACATACTTTCATCAACAAAGAGAAAACATTTTCTGATATTTCAGTCACTACTGTGCTATGCAAATCAGTCAATTATAATAATGGGGGAAGCAATACATGATAATATGAAAAGGAAATGAGTATGGACTATTCCTCACCGAAGTTAACGAGATTCCCACAGGGTCAAGCTCCAGTGAGATGGCAATATTATAGCACTGTTCTTCCAAGTTGGCTTGGACTCACTGGCATGACTCTGGTTAACTGGTTACTTTGTTCTCTGGGTATAATTATTTATATAAAGCACATAATGAAATGATAGGTGATATAAATTCCAAATAAATTGACAAAGACACCAGCTCTTTACTGAATTATGTTGACTTTCAAAAGTACAAATTTCCTTTCACATATTGTCCTAATAATGCATTTATGTGTTAAGTATTCCAAAAATATGGAAAGTGCATGGCAGCAACTGACCGTTTCTCCACATTGCTCAATAACAGGTGTCTTACTGGTCACACAAATGTTATAACAATTTTGCAATCATGTCTTTACCAAGGTTATCAATGTCAGTGTCATTTTGTAGACTTAAACGAGACATAGTTAAGATGCAATCTCTCCTGATTCAGAAAACTAGCTAGAAATTTTGATACACAATTTAAAAATCCTCAAAAATTAAATGGATCTTGAAATATCAGTGTGTTCCTGTATCTAAACAGGGCAGGTTAAAGTTATTATCTTGGGTTAGGAAGTTGCAGGAAAGTAGAAAGTATATTCTCCAGGTCAGTCTCTCCAACTGGGTCTAACACAGGGTTGCCAACTCACCAGAAAGCTCCAGGTATTGCTGTAGCTATTTTTAAAATCCTGGGCAGCTACAAGACCTAGAATCTTACCCACATGTAAACTGAACTGGACAATGCCACCAGGGGGTGCTAAACCACAACTGGAAGGATGATTTTGAATCAAGCAGTTTTATCTTCAGATCTCTGCCCGCTCTCTTACATGCTATGCTTTGTTATAGTGGATGATGAACATTATGGCTGTAGCTTTTTGCCCCTTCCCCAGTATGAAAAGAGAAAAGGAGGTAACTCTTCTTAAATTCTCAGAGAACGTCTACTGTATCTTCTCAGTAGGAGGAATGGATAATCTTTTTGGTTGGAGCTGGACATTTGTTGGAGTATAATTTACTAGTGGACATGGTTTTTCTATGTTCAAATCCAAACACCAGCTGCTACCTTTTATTTTTAACCTGTATGTGCTCATACCAAAGGGCTCCTCTTGTGCCTTCCTCAATTCTCATGCTCAGGAATGATAGATCTTTTAGTTTCATATCTCTGGGGGGTAAGAAGACCATGAAGGGGGAAGTGGGTAAAACGGTGGGGGGAGGGGAGGACGTTTCTTTCTCCATGACATCTTCCATATCTGATATGCCACCAATTCATACTTTCTTCTCTTTTATATGTAAACACCCTGACATCTCTAGGCACTCTTCAAATATCTTTTGAACAAGCAAAATCAGTAAATAAGGAACACTTCTGTAACCTTCACAACCTCATCTCTATGACTTCCCAGCATTCTCTCTATCCAAGACCAAAGGCTTTATAACCTTGCATTCTCATAACTTTTTTGAATGTGAGGTACTAGCAGGAGTGGTGGCCAGATTGTGAATTTGATGATTAAGTAGCAGGCCTTTGCTCAACCTAATTTATCCAAAATACCAAATATATAAAACAAAAGAACCTCATGCTCAGTTCCAGATCCCCTCTGCTGAGATTAGTAGGCCCACAAGTGGACACTTTGATAATTAGTTCTGCAGAAAACAGGAGAGAAGCAAATTGATACTAATGAGATGTAGAAATCTATTTTGAACAAGGAGGCTGGTGTTCTCAGATTTTATGGCTTTTTTTTTTTTTTTTGAGATGGAGTTTCACTCTTGTTGCTCAGGCTGGAGTACAATGGCAAAATCTTGGCTCACTGCAACCTCTGCCTCCCAGGTTCAAGTGATTCTCCTGCCTCAGCCTCCCAAGTAGCTGGGATTATAGACGCCCGCCACCACGCCAACCTAATTTTTATATTTTTAGTAGAGACGGGGTTTCACCTTATTGGCCAGGCTGGTCAATCCTCAGGTGATCCACCCACCTTGGCCTGGGATTACAGACATGAGCCCTTCATTTAGTTTACAGAATTTATTGATTTTCCCCCAGAATTTTGTAGTTCATGTTTTTCCAAGAATGATCAAAGTAAGTTTTTTTCTGGAGTCACAGAAATCTATAAGTCTAGGGACTAACAACTATAACTAGAAAACTTAGAAGCGAGTTTTGTCAATGTCATCTCATTTTCCTGAGTGTAAGAATCTTCTGTCCTACAAGCTTAGAGGTGGTAACAGTGACCTGACTTGATACGTAACAGAATCCAATGCAGTTCCAATCCTGGTATCCATGTCCTTCAGTAGTTCCCTGAACTTATATAGGTGGGTAATTTCTAGTGTCAGGCAGAGATTAACTTTGACAGTTTTAGCTCATTTTGATCATCCAGTGTTAAAAATCATAATCCAGCAATGCCCATAACCTCATCAAAGACTATGATCTTTCTTCTTTCCTTTTTTTTTTTAAAAAAAAAAACAAACCTGATCTAGTAGAAGGACCTTTTCAAATCAAAGACCTCCTATACTAAATCTCTTATCCCAGAACTTCTTTTAACCTAAAAGCAGGGCAGGGGAAGACAAAGCTAAAGAGTTTGTATTTCCTCCAGAACTTGGCAAATCTGCAAAAAATCTCTTTCCCTTTCAAAGCTTCCCTCCCATTTTTGACCTCTATTTAGGAGGAGTGGGAATATGAAGAAGTGTAAAGGTGACAATTTTCTTTACCCACTTGTTAAAATGTTTAAGTACCAGTTAACTAGCCGGCCAACATGGAACGGGTATAAAGACCCAATCTCTGCCTCGAAGACCTACCATCTAGCAGACGGAGAGGGACATGCTAACAAATAGGGGCACTAGGTTTTTAGACTGCTATGACAGAAGATTTAACAAAGGACAGTGGGAGAACAAAAAGAAGGGGTTAAATTTAGCTGGTGGTGGAGTATGTCAGGAAAGACTTCTTCAGGTTGGCAATTTGGCCTGAATCTAGGAAAAAAGATGAATGGGGCCAGGTGGGAGTAAAAAAGGGGACCATAGACAGGAGGAGGTGTGTAAAGATGGACAGAAAGCATGGTATCATAGACACTACAAAAACGAGGAAGTGCCGAGACACTGGACAAAAGTTTCAAATGACAAGATTAAATATGATAAAAGAGTTCCCTGGATTTGGGAAATGGGAAGTTATCCTTGAACTTTGCTAGAGCCATTTCAATGGAGTAGCAGGTCAGAAGTCTGGCTGCTATGAATTTAAAAGGATGAAAAGAGTAAAGAAAAATATTTTAGAGTAAATGAAAGACAAAAAAAAAAGGTGACAACAAGTTTAGACTGTTTCTTGGAGTCATTTGCCTTTTTACTTTCAAGCATACTAGTTCAGGTATGACAAGGGTTACTTACATAGGATTTACATTTCTATGAGAAAATGACTCCCAATTGCCATCTTAAAAACTTAAAAACAAGTTTTTAAACACAATCCATTCTTAATTTAAAGGTTGCCTATATTATTTCAAACAATACAGGCAGCCTTTTAAATATATGTTTAACAATTATTAAACATGTTAATTATCAAATATTAATTAAACATGTTAATATGTTTAATGTTTACATGTTATTTTAAATATAAAATCAACATTTCTACAGATTCACTCTGCCATCACTAACTTGTCTTTCATATCCTTCAAAATAAATAACACCTGTAATTGTTTATAGTAGAAAAGGTGCTTTATTTTACATATCATTGGTACACGATACATAAAACTGCCTAAAATCAGTCTTGGAAAACACAACAGTCAGTCAATTACACCTTAAAGGGTCAAAGACCAAGTCTATTTTGCAATCTACTTCATTTACGATCAAATGACTACAATAATTTTAAATACTAATAAGCTCTTCATATCCAATGTTACAAATGATTTTTATGTTACAAGGGCTGTAATTTTTTAAAATAAAAATATCTTTAGCTATAGACCTTATTTCTAATCAGAATGAATCTTTGCTAGTCTACAAGTCTTTGAAATAATAGATCAACAATTTCGCCTTCCTATAGATAATTGTATTTATGTAATTGGGTAATGAGGCAGGAGTCCTTCATACATGCAATCAGATTATTTCAATTTTTTAAAAAATGCAGATAAAATTGAGTTTATATATACCCTATGTCTAATTAAGTTGCCAAAGAAGTTTATTAAACTAAAATGAAGCCAATATGATATTTTAGAAAACATAATTCTGAGAGCATGCAACATCAAAAATACTTTTACTATTTATGAGAGCCAGAGTTGCAGAACACAGAAGAGGACTGGCACAAAGGCTGTTACATTTGAATTGCTTACCCAGCTGGGAAGAGTAAAGAAAGTCATTTAACTCAGTGCAAATCCTATGAAAAATATCTGCATGATACAGCCTACTGCTACACAGAGGGATCTTCACTTAGAAAATGTGCAAATCATAAGAAGCTAAATGCACTTCTTTTGCTATTTACTCCAATTCATTCTATTCATCAGCACACAGCTCTAAGATCTCTTATTAACTACTAATGTCAAAGCCACAGATTTCTTAATGGCATTTTTTAGTCACCAATCCCTTATCACAGAGATAAATACGACTGGTGCTTAACGTACAAATGCCAAAAAAAGAAAAAAAAAGAATCTGGGCTAAGTATCAAGGCAAAAACATTTATCATTTTAACAAATCCCTCAGTATAGAAAGACTTCTCTTCCCTCTAAAAAGTAAGTCATATGTTAGAACCACAGGTTCAGAATCACCTCCTGGTCCAGAAGAGTGGAGGCATTTAAGCAAAGTAAACTGAATCAAATACTAAACACTAAACAGGTATAAATGTGCACACTCAAACAAATATTCTATCCTTTGCTTAAAATCAACTTATTCCTTGTCATTAGAAGTGCTTCAAGATGCACGTTGTTAATTAATGCAGAAAAGAAAGCGTTGAAAGCCAAACTTTTTCTATTAAAGCAATAGATCTTTAAAATAATTGGGCTTCAAACATATACTTTTAGTATAACTTTCCATTCATTTTCTTTTTATAATTAAGTATACACATATACACAACAAACCCTAATATTTAATATGTGCAAAATTGCTTATCATGTATTTTAACTTTGGTTAAGTATTTGTTTAGCCTATATCAGACACATTACAGAAGCTAGACAAATGATTACAAACATAATAATGAGGTAAGTTAAAATTCTACTAGTGCAAAAAGCAAGCATATGCCAAAAGCAAAGCATATGAATTAAACAAATGCAGAATGAAGCTCTCACCAAGGGCATTGCTGGGATAACAAACCAGAGAAGCTCCTTGTAAACATTGTAAAGTACACATTTAAAGAGTAAAGATTCATACAGCCACAAAAAAGGTATTCTAACAACACCATAGTAGTGCATTTATTTTATCTTTAGAGTTTGGAAACCACTTATTATGTGTCTAACAATTTGCATATTTTCTTCAAGAGAAACTTAATTAGTGAGACACATTAATTACAAATACTGTAGTATAAAAATCCCAGTTCTTTACAAAAATTATATATTAAAATATTCTATACACTTTAAATTAGTAACTGGAACACACATATATATCAATTCTGCACAATTAAATCCATCTTTGCTGGGGGGTATTATACATGAAATTTGAGGACATAGCTACTCAGTCAACCTAAACTGGCATAAGGTTATGTGGTATAAAAAAAGATAGACCTGTGCCCCTGCAGTTATTGAAGCTCTTAGTTTGAAATATCTTTTCTGCAATTATTGCTCTGTATATTAATTCCAGGTTTAAATAGGCAGTGGAACCATGAAATTCCTAAAAAGTTTAAAACAAGTTACCTGTAGCAGAGTGTTTATAATACCTATCTGTATCTTTAAGGTTGTAATGGAACCTGAGTTAGCTGTCTAATGCTTATATTTTCATAGTAAAAAAGTTTATACAATTTCAAGGTAAAAACAATGCAAAAATAAAACATTTAGAGCATTTACAAAAATCTTACAAATGTTTAAAACACCATTTTAAAACTTGTGTCCTGTTAAGGTGCTTGTTTCTTTCTCCAGTAGGAGGACATATACTTTAATTTTGAATTCAATTATGAAGATTTTAATTTTAGCAAAAGCAAAATTAGAGCCATTAAGACAGATGAAAATGTTCAGGGATATATTTCACTTCTACTAAAAACACAAAACCTTAGTGCTGAAAGGGACCTAAAAGATAAACGGTTTTCACTCTCTCATCTGTTATGAGGAAAATGAGGGCCAGATAAGTTAAGTGCTTTGGCCAAAAATATATTCAAATATATTGGCCTGGTAAGAATCAAGAAAACTCATTGTTCTTATTGTATTTTACCATGATTCTTGGAAAATAATAAAAGTTCAAAAGCAGTTTCTAAACTTGCCTCTTTCTTTTTTAATTTCTTAAGCTCTGTGCTAACTGTAAACAAAGAAAGGAATCAAACAACTACTAGAATTATTATAGTATCACACATATTATCCAATAGAAGACAGCTGTTAGAGGAACACTGCTCATATAGAATAAAGATAGAGGGAGTACTCAAAGATAGGACATTAACAAAGTAGAGAACATTCACTATATAAGACAGCATAGTATACAACAGCCAGTTACTAGAATTATCTCAATAACTCTAGGATGACTGGGTTACATAGCCCTTATAAAATATATTGGGGTAATAAAGCTTTCTAGCTTTTATCTTAATTTCACTGTTTTTCTTTATAAAAGAGCTATATCTGTAAGGAAGAACTCATATACTAATTTTCAGAGAGTCTTTGCTTCTTTTCTTTTATTTGGATCTATAATTCAGCAAATACATTTTAAGAACAATTTACAAACTTAAGTTCATAACTGCTGGAAATACAGTCAGAGAATACTCTTTTAAATGACAAATCTTCATAACCAGTTACTAATAAATAATCATAATCACAATAGCTTCAGTAAAAAAAAATTCAATTTAAAGGTGCTTTCTTATTGTTACCTTGAAGCCACCGAACTTGTGTAGCTGGTCCATATCCCTTTTCATTCTTTGCTGATATCCTGAACACAATGGCAGGCCTGGATGTATAATCAATATGTGCATTTGCAAGTTGCCCAGCAGTTACTGTACATGATGTCTTAAGACCACAATAAATCCTCATGAACACAAGTTGACTTGGATTATCTTGTATCTGTGCTGTGCGGATAGCCAAGTAGGCTGAATATTCCAAAATATTTCCAGAAGGTGAAGTTGGAGGTTCCCAGGAAAGGTGGATACCTTCAACATTCTTGAAGAGGGCGGGAAAAAAAACAGGTTAAAGGTTCTTAAGTTTCCTCTGTTATCACTCATTATGTTGAGTCTATCTTTAGAATACAAAATGCTCATTTTTGCTAAAATAATTGCATTAGATGTTAGATCTTTTTTTGTTGATTTTTAAAACCTACCTCATTTGAATCTACAATGTTTAATTCATGCTTGCTTTCCAAAAACAACTAAGTTTAAATGTCTACCTGTAATGTCCCAAAACGGGGATTTTTATTTCCTAAACAATCTCTAGGGAGGGACGGGACATTAGGATAAAATATAATTCAGTTTTGAGTGCTCTATTAAAATTCTCCAGCCAAATGTTTTCATTCCATAATAACAAGAACAAATTTAGAAGCATACCAGATTTCCCTGCCTTTCTGTGATTTGGATGCTGTAATTTTGCTTGAAATCACATGGACACGTAGAGGCAGACAACACACACTGGGGCCTTTCGGAGAGTGGAGGGTGGGAGGAGGGAGAGGATCAGGAAAAATAACTAATGGATACTAGGCTTAATACCTGGGTGATGAAATAATGTGCACAACAAACCCCCATGACACTCATTTACCTTTGGAACAAACCTGCACATATGCCCCTGAATTTAAAATAAAAGTTAAAAAAATATGAATGAGTAGCTAAAATTATTTTTTAAACTTTTAATCCATTCTTTTAGGTATCCCTCATTTCATAAGATGGTAACAACAATTTCTAAACTGACAGTTTACTTCACATATGAAATTTCAAATAATTTAAAATCAACAAGTCTTGACCCGATGTCTCACCTTTGAAATTCTGACTGCAGAAGGAGCTCCAGGAAAACCAGGAATACAAGTTTTAAATTCACTGATTTTGCTGAAAGGACCTATACCACAACCATTGATTGCAGCAACCCTGAATCTGTATCCTGTGCCTGGAACAAGATCTTGTTTCTTAAGCAAGCTGTAGTCAGGTACATCTGCATTTCCTACCTAAAATGTAATATATGCAAAAGTTAAAGAAAAGGTACAACTAATATTATTAAAGTTTCAAAAATTAATTCAATTTTTATTAAACAAAAAAAACTTTTAAAACATAAATTATGTTTTAAGGTTCTGGTTCACATTTATCTCCCTCTCTCTCACATGGAATGAACCCTCCAATAGAGAAGCATACATCTGCTCCTTATCCAGAAGCGAGCACTCTTTCCAACTGAGAATCACTGATTATACAGACAAATGTAAGAGCATTCTTCACATGAACAATGTGAAGGTAGAAAAAAAGCTGACAACCACTATAAACAAAGTATCAACTATCCCATCATCATGTAAACTTATCTTGAAGCAGAAATCTCAGAAGATATACTGCCAAATAATAGTCTGCCCAGGAACAATACCCTTTAGAGACAGGCAGGCAAGCTTGATAGAAAAGGAGGGACTAGCATGTAGTACAGAGTGTTTTTTGTTTTTTATTTGAGACGGAGTCTCGCTCTGTCTCCCAGGCTGGAGTGCAGCGGCACAATCTCAGCTCACTGCAACAGTCCGCTTCCCAGATTCAAGCGATTCTCCTGCCTCAGCCTCCCAAGTAGCTGAGATTACAGATGACTGCCACCACACCCAGCTAATTTTTGTATTTTTTAGCAGAGACAGGGTTTTGCCATGCTGGCCAGGAATTCCTGACCAAAGGTGATCGAGCCATCTGGAACTCCCGAGCAAAGGTGATCCACCCGTCTCGGCCTCCCAAAGTGCTGGGATTACAGGCATGAGCCACCACGCCCGGCCTATAGAGCATTTTTTAAAATTAAAATTCAGCAGACACCAAATAAATGTTAAATAATTAGATTATATACTCTAGGTAGGAAGATAATAACATTTACAACTTTCAAACAATTTTTACATATGCTCCCTAACTCTCCCAGTTAGACAGAGAGTGCCAATGTGTTCTCCTACTTTAAGGGAGCCATGTCATCTCTACTTTACAGATGAGGAAACTGAGTCTAGGAGAGATTAAACAAGTTGACTTGCGAAGATCACACTGCTGAATGCTGGAACTAGTGATTCAAACCTAAGTTTACTAGCTCTAAATTTTAGGCTATTTTTTCTTTTAGGAAAAATCAGGTAGCTACTAGGCCCTAGACACAGACACGTCTTTATATATGAAATCCAACTACAGTGAGAAATTTCACTGGGCATAATACTAATTATTAACTAGAATTTCTATTTTTGTCAAGAGTTAGAAAAATGCTATATGAAAAAGAGGGATATGAGGAGTAATAGTAGAGCAACTAAAATACATATAAATATATAGGATATATTCCCCATTTGTACATATCTTCAGGAGATTCAAAATGAACATCTATTTCCTTGGCAATTCTCTCTCAGAAATTCTCCATTTAGTAATTTTTTTATTTTTATTTATTTATTTATTTATTTATTTATTTTTTGGAGACAGCATCTCACTCTGTCATCCAGGCTGGAGTGCAGTGGCCTGAACATGGCTCACTGCAGCCTTGACCTCCTGGTTCAAGTGATCCTCCCACCTCAGCCTCCCAAGTAGTTGGGAGCAGAAGCGTGCACCTTGCCCAGCAAATTTCTTTATTTTTTGTAAGATAGGATCTTGCCATGTTGCCCAGGCTGGTCTGGAACTCCTGGGCTCAAGCTCCTCTCACCTTAGCCTTCCAAAGTACTGGGATTACAGGCATGAGTCACTGCACCTGGCCTTTATAAATTTTTTCAATGTGCTTTGGAGCTGTTATCTATGTAATAATTCTTAGAAGGTTAAATGTCTAATTTACATATATATAAAACATCTCATATATGTATATGAGGTCCTCTTTAAGGGGTTTCAGCATCAAGGGAATATTAGATTGTATTTAATAGCGTATCAGGGCTTTTAAATTTTTTTAAATTGTAAAATCAGAAATAAAAAATTTTTTTTCAATAGGAAAAAAAAGTTCCATTCTCTAGACACACTGGTTAACAAAATTAGAGATATTTCAAAAAACTCTTATCTGTGCTAGTCAGACTAAATTATTTATGACTCAAAACCCAGCTCATTGGCTGGGTGTGGTGGCTCATGGCTGTAATCCCAGCACTTTTGGAGGCCGGGGCGGAAGGATCACTTGAGCCCAGGAGTTGGAGACCAACCTGGGCAACATGGTGAAACCCAGTCTCTACAAAAATTAGCTTAATTTTGGTAAATTAGCTTAATTAGGTAATGGTGGCTTGTCCCTGTAGTCCTAGATACTCAGGAAGCCAAGGTGTGAGGATAACTTAAGCCCAGGAGATTGAGACTGCAGTGAGCTCTGATCGCACCACTGCACTCCAGCTTGGGTGACAGAGCAAGACCCTGTCTCAAACAAACAAACAACAAACAAAAAACTCTCCACCTCAGTGATTGTATAAGTTTTTTTTTTTTTAAATTTAGAGATAGGTATTGCTATGTTGCCCAGGTTGGAATGTAGTGGCTATTCACAGGTGCAATCATACTGCACTGCAGCCTCAAACTCCTGGGCTCAAGCAATCCTCCTGACTCAGCCTCCTGAGTAGCTGGGACTGCAGGCATGCTCCACCACACCTGGTTCAAAGATTTTTTAAATGACATGCTTGTGATGTAGTCCATACAAAGGGCCTTAACAAAGAATACAGTGTAACTTGGTGATATGATTTGGATCTGTTTTCCTACCAAATCTCATGTAGAATTGTAATCCCTAGTGTTGGAGGTAGGACCTGATGGGAGGTGATTGGATCGTAGGGGCAGAGTTCTCATGAATGGTTTAGCACCATCCCCCCTTAGTATTGTATAGTGAGTTCTCATGAGATCTGGTTGTTTAAAAGTGTGTGGCACCTCCCCACCCCACGCATTGCCCCTGTTCCTGCCATGTAAGACATGCCTGCTTTTCCTTCACCTTCTGCCATGATTGGAAGTTTTCTGAAGCCTCTCCAGAAGCTGAGCAGATGCCAGCATCATGCTTCCTGTATAGCCTGTGGAACCTTAAGCCATTTAAACCTCTTTATAAATTATACAGTCTCAGGTATTTCTTTTCTTTTCTTTTTTTTTTTTGAGACGGAGTCTTGCACTGTCATCCAGGCTGGAGTGCAGGGGCGCCATCTTGGCTCACTGCAAGCTCCACCTCCCGGATTCATGCCATTCTCCTGCCTCAGCCTCCCGAGTAGCTGGGACTACAGGTGTTTGCCACCACACCCGGCTAATTTTTTGTACTTTTAGTAGAGATGGGGTTTCACCGTGTTAGCCAGAATGGTCTCGATCTCCTGACCTTGTGATCCGCCCACCTTGGCCTCCCGAAGTGCTGGGATTACAGGCGTGAGCCACTGCACCCAGCCAGTCTCAGGTGTTTCTTTATAGCAATGTGAGAATGGCCTAATACATTTGGTATACAGAATTCACAATTATACAGATTGTGGATGGATCCCAATTTTACTCATTCAAGTGACCTGAATCAGGGTTCTAAAAAAGAAATCTCATTCTTAATTATTTTTTTCTCTCCCTTTCTTAGTTATTGGTAAAGAAAAATTTCATCCTTGAGGCTTATAATTTACAATGTAGAAAATACATCAATAGCTACCTTTGAGATGCTTTGCTTCCCTTTTGGCAGCAAATAAAACTGGCTCACCAAAGCTGTATTATTTTTAAAAATTCCCACATCACACCATTGTCGTTCTCCTGCTTTCATTGAGGCCACTGGATTTGAAGGAGTCTCTTTCTAATTTCAGAGAAAAAAAATTTATGAAGACTCTTATTGAATATATGAAAAATTTCAAGATTTAATAAGTCCATGCAGTGATCTACAAGTAGGTATTTGGATAAACACCACAACATTAACAACTCATATGTAAATAAAGTCTTAACAGATTAGGTCAACTGACAGTGAAACAGGGATGCCAATTCAAACACAGGAGTGACAGGCATTCTCCAAGTCAGTAGCTCTGTACTATCAACCTAGCTGGAGTTAGCATGCTTTCCAATCAGTGATATGTTAAAATGCCAGCTATTTTATAGAACATTGTCATTTCAGAGACTCTCTCAGAAAATGTAATTCCTTTAGCGTTAACATTACAACTTGCTCCAAAAGGAGCAAATAAAGAAAAATTCATTCCAAGCTGGCTCATTTCTAGATCCAAAAACAACTAGCAAAAATTCAGTGATCTTTGCACTTGAAATACCTGTGATTCTCCAAACCTAAAAGGAGAAAAAATGTTCAAAACTAAAATGCAATTTGAATATACTTTAGTATATACTAAAGAGGAGTAGATTAAACAGTTTTACATTTTTTATCCTGTTTTAAAACAAATAAACTTCCTCTACCTTAAGCTACTTTTAGTGGTAAGTGAATTATACTTATCCCTGGAACTAACCTTTTAAAGCCATCTTCTTATAAATGAGACACTGTTTCCAGAAGCTCAAAACAAATGTGCACTTCAGTTATTTATTTCTGTCTTAAATATATAACAGCAGAGGTACATGCTTATAATTCACATTTTTTTAATATTTAGGCTATCACACATGACAAAGTGAGCTAACTAGAAGAGTCTTTAAAGTTAAAAAAAAGAGTAATAGCTTTAAACTTGTTGTAAAAACTCTCTTCAACAACTTTTATAAAACAACTGGCTCCAACTCAAATAACAAATACAATTCTGGCTGATGCATGGCAAAATAGACTCAAGAGAAAAAAAATTCATTTTAGTAATCCTTCCCTAAGATGAGTCTAAAAACACTAGGACTTAACATTCTGGAAAGATGAAAGCTGATAAAGGTAAATATATGGTCAAAATCCATAAAGTCACGATTGAAAGAAAACAAAAACTAAAGAGAATTCTTAAAGATTCTAAAAGTTAAATTTAGGTCAAATGAAAACTCTTGCTCACAGAAATTAAGTTGAAATGACTAATAACAAAAAAAAAACCCTCAAAAGTATATATATGTATGTTTTATCCTTATATTTATCAAAGTAAGACAATTTTGGTATATTTGTAAGGCACTTTCCTGGCATTTTAAGTTTGGTGCCATGCATACCAAATTTGGCCTATGTAAAACAACCAAATATCAGAGATTATTGGGCTACCCTACATTTATGTCAATCCACTATTGCAATATTCTGTTGTGCTCCTATTAAGTAGCTAGCAATACAGCCATTCAAGTTTTATGTTCCATAACACATCCTATCTTTTAACCATTAATGTAATTTACACATACATACACATATATGTATGTATATATACATACACACATTTCTGATTATAAAAATAACATTTCATTATAGAAAAATATAAAAAGCATAAGGAAGAAAGTAAAAAGTATCTGTGGCCCCCCACCTGGATTTTAGAGTGGTTATGTGTGGGTACATGTGAGAGTATAACTGTATGAATTGCATGTATTTTTTAACAAAATTGAGAACACAACACGTTATTTTTTATCCCGCTTTTTCACTAAACATTATACTGTGAACATTTTCCTATTCAATCATTTATATCTAAATGTATGTCAATTCGTTACTGAGACCTGAGAATCTTTTTATGAAATTATTTCGAAGCTGCTCAGCATTTAAAAGTACATAATCATGTGTAAACATGCATCATCACCAGGTCATGTACTTACAGAAAACGGCATTGCTGTAGCATGTGTCTCTACACGGCTGATCTTCGTTGCAGGCAGTGCATATGTCTCATCAACTAAAAATTAAACAATTTATCAGATAAGATTTACATAACTTACCAGATACATTAAAATATAATTTTTAAATACATATTTAATGCCACTAACTGTAAACTTAAAAACGGCTAAGACAGCAAATTTTATGTTATGTGTATTTTATCATAATAAAAAAACAGCCGGAGGGTATTGTACTATTATTGACAATAAGTAGTAATATTGACCCTTTAACTCAAAACAATTCATAAACTTCATTTTTTAAGGGTTTGATGACTAGCTAGAACTTCAGAGAATGTTTACTAAAGATGCAATACAATTCCTATTCCAAAAGAATAAGAATTTATCAAATTAGAAATCAAGCAAGTTGGAAGAATTGTTAATACACAGTCTAGAACCAATCTTGTCTAAAAAACAGTTTGCTAAATTTATTCACAGTAGGAAAGACACATTCTGATTGTATTTCAGTGACGTGTGCTAATCTAAATATTTTATGCAGAGAATATTTTATAAAATAATTTTAACTGAAATGCTTTATCTGTTTACATTACATTCTGGAAAGATGAAAGCTGATAAAGGTAAATATATGGTCAAAATCCATAAAGTCATGATTGAAAGAAAACAAAAACTAAAGAGAATTCTTAAAGATTCTAAAAGTTAAATTTAGGTCAAATGAAAACTCTTGCTCACAGAAATTAAGTTGAAATGACTAATAACAAAATTCCAAGATGAAATGCAATTCCCATCTAAGACAAGTAAGTTTGATGAATTTACATACATAAATGGTTCAAAATACAGTATGTGAAACACATTTCAAACCTTCAGATTTGGTACTGAATGTTGTTAGTGAAGTTTCATCTTTAACAACTGCCCCATTTGTACTGGATGATTCAGTTTTAATGGTCTGCTGGGTTACCATAGTTTGTGTGCTGGAAACAGTACTGGATACAGAAGTTTCAGGAATTACTGTTCTTACATCCAGGCAACTACTTAGAACACCTACATTTGCTGAAGTGTGAGGACCTAAAATAAAAGGGAAAAGGTAATTATTAATATAACATCTGCAGATAATTGTTGTGTCTTCTAGTTCTTGTCATATGATTCTTGGTACTTTCAGTTTTAAAATCATACATGAGCACCACAAATGGTATTAGTATGAATTAACCATTAGGCATAAAATGTTTAGAAAAATAAAGTGCATTATATCCATAATGGATATCCAACTTTTTACGTTCTTCGTTCATTCTAAACACTGAGCCATTGTTCTTGACTTTTCACTAAATCATAGATCAAATGGCTCTGCCCTTCATTTCAGGAAAAAAATATTAGAGGTCATTAGGCATGAATTATCTCATTTTTTTGCCTTCTCTGGCTGCAAACTGGAATTGTACTAATAATTGTACTCATCCTCCCTATCTTCCATTGCAGAAGATTTGCTGACCTCTCTCCTAAAAAATCTGAATATATCTTCCTGTATTCTTGGTCCCATTCCTTCCCCTATATGTTGGGACCCTCATCAATCATTCCTCTCTCTTCAGGGTTTTCAGATTCTTTGTCAGTAGTTTTTGGTCCTTGTCCCATAAACATCATCAAGTTCCTGAAGCAAACAACACACCTCTTCGTTTACCCAACAATTCCCACCAATTACTCTCTCCCTTTACTAATTCCCTTTAGAGCAGTTTATACTTCCTTGATCTCCCCAAAATTTGATTTCTAGCACACTACTCTAATAAAATAATTCTGGCAAACATCAATGATTTCTAGGGGGTATTTTTCAATTTTCATTTACTTGACTTTTCTGCACTGTAAACAATGCTGACCACATACTCCTTTTTGAAGCTGGTTTTTTTTTTTTCCCCTAGGACGTATATTCATTCATTCCACAACAGTGAAGTCTACCATGTATGAGATATTGTATTTGTTTTTATAATGGTGAAATAAGGCAGACATAGATCATGCCTCACAAACTTAAGCCTTCTTCTTGTCACCCTTACATATTTTTCTGTGCGTTAAATACCATTCCCAAATCCATACATATCTCCCGGGCACTGCACCAGGTGCTAGGAATCTAGCAGTGAACAAGTCAACAAGATCCTTGCTCTTTTGGAGATTACATTTAAATACTCTTAATTTCTAAATTTATGTTTCTAGCCTAGTACTGCCTTCTAGACTCCAGGCCTAAGTATCCAACTGCCCATCAGAAATCTTTACCAGTATATTCCCAAAGTGCCTCAAAAACAGAGTTCCAAGTTGAACCTCTCTTTTCCAAAATCCGTTCTTGCTCCTATATTTCCTATTTTGATGAAGACTATCATTACCTACTCTCATATCCAACCCAAAAAACTGGGAGTCATATTCAACTCATTTTTATTTCTCATATACAGCCAGCTATCAAGTCTAATAGATGAAACCTTCTAAAAGTCTCTTAAATGATGAATTCTCTCCTCTCCATTTCAGCCACTGCTTTAGTCTCTGTGTATCTCCTGGAGTCAGCCACTGCTTTAGTCTCTATGCATCTCCTGGAGTCCTAAAAGAATCCCTAACAAGTCTCCTAATCATTTTCTACTATAGTTCTTCCTGATGGAGAGGCTATTCTTTAAAAAAAAAAAATTTGCCTCATTTAAATTCCATAGTTCATAATCAATCATTACTATTGGTAAGTGCTTACTTAGTATTTTAACATCATTCTAACCAGGTTGAATATGGCAGTTTTTTGCTATCAGGAAAATGGATCAAAACTGTACAATATTTACTTTTTCAATGACTATTAAATTCCCTACCAATTTTATAAAAAGCTTTAGTTTAAAATGTCATCCATTTACCTTCATCTTTCCTTAGCATATCCACCACATGACTATTATGATTAGAAGCATTCGATGCCAAAGATGGATATAAAATGGCATTAGAATCCGTCAGTGCTTTAAAGTCTGGTTTGTTTTTCATTGAAGTTTCTTTTGTGGCTGGCTGTTCAGTTTTTGTGCTGTTTATTGTATCATTGATCTACAAGAAATACAACAGATTACTGTAGTAAGCAATATTCAATGAAATAAAAATACATGTAAAAAACAAGCAAAATAATTTACAATTTAAATACTTTTTATCAGAATATAAAACACCTAAAAATTACATTATTAATTTATACAGGATTTTTATTCAATTTTATAATAGTTTCTAAGAAAACAATTTCTTTTCACTTAATCTCCACGCTCAAAAGATCCGTTTTGAAGAGGAAAGGGAGAGTATATTTTGAGGAAAAAAAATCTACATTTTAATAAGTGGTAGCTAGTATCACAAGCAAATACATACATAACACAGGAGAGAACAAAGCTACCGGGTCTGGTCAAATTTTCTTAAAGGGCAGACATGTATCCTAAAAATATGGTAACTCCAAAAGTAAAATCTCAGCTATATGGAATCTTCAAGCAAATAAACTATTCTATATGACTGAGTTTTCCATATAAAGATCTCATACATATACATATAATTATCCTATAGCATGAGGTATTTTGGATAAGAATTTCCCTAATTACATTTTTCTTAACCTTCTTAAACACACTATAATAAAGACATTCAAACTTTTAAAAAAAAATTATTACTATTATTATTATTATTTTTGAGATGGAGTTCTGCTCTTGTGGCCCAGGCTGGAGTACAATGGTACGATCTCAGCTCACTGCAACCTCCAACTCCCAGGTTCAAGTGATTCTCCTGCCTCAGCCTCCCGAGTAGCTGAGATTATAGGCGCCCACCACCATGCCTGGCTAATTTTTTGTATTTTTAGTAGAGACGGGGTTTCATCATATTGGCAAAGGCTGGTCTTGAACTCCTGACCTCAGGTGGTCCACCCACCTCAGCCTCCCAAAGCACTGGGATTACAGGAGTGAGCTACTGTACCTGGCCTAAAAAATTATTTTTATTTTTTATTTTTTTGAGACAGGATCTTGCTCTGTTGACCAGGCTGGACTGCACTGGCACGACCACAGTTCACGGCAGCCACCACCTGCCAAGCAATCCTCCTGCCTCAGTCTCCCAAGTAGCTGGGGCTACAAGCACACACCAGCATACCCAGCTAATTTTTCTATATTTTGTAGAGATGGGGTTTTGCCATGTTGTCAAGGCTGTTCTTGAACTCCTGAGCTGAAGGATCTACCACCTTGGCCTCCCAAAATGTTGGGATTACAGGTGTGAGCCACAGAACCCAGCTGCTACGTTTACAATGTTTTGATAATTCAAGTCATCAATGTGTATATCAGTTATTATACCTACAGGTCTACCTAACCATAAAAGTGACCTGGCTTCATTCAAATACCCTAATGTTGTTCTTTCTAATTACCTGTTTTTTGTTACTTTTCTGTCTCTATTTTTATTGTCAGCTCATAATTTCTCATGGCTCTGAGGATACTTGTCTATAATATGCCCTGTGCTTGCCCTTAATTGGTGGTGCTACTGTTTATAAGTGATGATGACGATGATAGCCACAACTATGCCAGGCATTATGGCAGACAGTGTACTATATATATCCATACACTCTGGATCTTACTTAATCTTCACAAGAATCCTATTAGTAAGATAACTTGACCCCTATTATAGATGAAGAAAATGATACTCACAGAACTTAAGTTACAAACTTACAGTCAGGTAGCCAGTAAATAACAGCTAGAATTCGAATTTGGTTTATTTCATTTCAAAATTCTTACATCTGGAATGTGCTTTTTGCTTAAAATCAGACACTCAGTCTAACTGAAATTTTATAAAATAAGTATAAATAAATCCTGAGAATTTTCATTAAACATGATAGATTAAACACATTTGCTTCAGGAGATTTCTCCAAAACCCAATTCAAATGACAAAAAAGGAATTTTTTAAAGTATGAAGCTATAACCTTTTAAGAAAAAAAGAGAATGGCAGAAGAGAGAATAGTAGATAAGATGTAAAACAGAACAGCTGGAGCTAAGAGCCTTCTCCTAAGTGAAAAGTCACTAAGATGTGGCCTGTTTGTGCCCCAGGGCCCAGGGCAGTCAGTGGTGGCAGAGGTGCAGAGTACAAGAAAACGCTGGAAGCTTGTCACACAGAAGTCTGTTTAAGAAGTGTTGTAGCCCTAGTTCTGCTCTCCCAGCATACCAAGGCAGAGAAATTCCTCTCCTTCATTCTAGCTGAAGATGGAAAATAGGTAGAAAGGTTGAAATGTGAGTCTCTAGACTACGCTACAGTATCCCACAAGTGATACAAGTATGAGGATGATACAAGTATGGGGAGAGGCGCCATACTGAAAATTGGAATTAAATGAAAGTCTAAATGCTGAACAGAAATATACCTTCCCTCCAATCCCCTTACTAAGCTCCCAGATTCTGACAGCCAGGCTCATAACCCTTAAGGAAGAGGTTGGAGAATTCTTAGGGGAAACTAACTGGTCTAAGAAAAAAGACCCACAGATACTGACATTTGTAGGTCCCCGCCCACTTACTCTTGTTGAGGTTTACTAAGCAACAAGCCACATCCACATGCATAGGCCTTCCAGGTTTTCTTAAAGCCTCACTTTAAACATAAAGGGACAGCCAAGCATCAGCAGACACTTGATGACAACCTCTAATGTGGAAGTCCAAGATTAAAACACATTAAAAAATAAAAAGGAGCTTGAAAAAAAGAAACATAACAAAGAGCAGACTAAAACTCCAAAATGTTTTAAAGTATAATTCTTCAGGAGAGAAGGAAAGATACTGTATTTATGAAACAAGAATAGGGTGCTATAACAGAAATAAAGAAAATGAGGCTTTTAGAAATTAAAAATGTGGTTGGATATATTTAAAATGTAAACATTGGAATAGACAGAGAAAACAGAAGATAAAAAGCAAAATCAGAGGACTAGTTTATAAAAAAAAAAAAAAGAAAAGAAATTGAGGGAAGAAATCATCAGTAATGAAGGTCATGAGTTTCCAGAACAATGGGGTCCACTGGGTGAGGCACACCAAATGAAGACATACACTCTAAGGCACATCACTGTTGAAATTTCAGAATACTGGGGATAAAAAGATAAAAAATTAGTCATATATAAAGGATCAGGAATCCAAATGGCATCACACTTTTCAATAGCAACACTGAATGCTAAAAGACACTACAAAAATTCCTACAAATTTTTGAGGGAAAAACTTCCAATATAGGATTCTATAAGCCAGCCAAACTATCAGTTAAATACGCTAAAGACATTTTCAGATATGCAAGATCTCAAAAAGTTTACCTTTCATAAGCCCACTTCTCAGGGGGCTGCAACAAAATAAAGGAAAACACAAAGAAAGAGGAAGAAATAAGGTCAAGAAATATGGGCTGTAACACAGGAAAGAGATAAATTCCTATTATGAAACAGAGAAGGTAGTTCTAAGGTGAGAGCTGTGCAGCAGGCCTAGAGAAGAACCAGTACCTGAGGACAGGGGGCTCCAGGAGGAATTGTTCCAAGGGTGGAAAAAAGAAACTACATTTATGTCCAAATATCTTAAGTTTTATAACTTTTTGGAAAATTTGATTATGAATTAATGATAGAGAAGAAGAAAACTAAGCAAGTGAAAAAGTGAGGCAGTTAATGCCAGGAAAAACAAATTTGCATGAAAAAGGAGTAATTCTCATAGCACACTACATGGCTCACCTGCAACTGTTTCACCATCATAGTGTAAACATCAAGCCATAATTCTACTAAAAATATGTGAAGGATGTGGGAACAGGAAAGGAGGGGATGAGGCAGAATTGTAAGAGATCATTAAAATTGTCATCTTTCATTATTGAAGACAATTGATCTAAAAGTAGAACCTTCAACAACATGAGTTTGAACTGTGAGGGTCCATTTCTATGTGGATTATTATTTATTTATTTGTTTTTTGAGACAGGATCTTGCTCTGTCACCCAGGCTGGAGTGCAGTGGCGCAACCTCGGTTCACTGCAAGCTCCGCCTCCTGGGTTCACGCCATTCTCCTGCCTCAGTCCCCCAAGTAGCTGGGACTAGAGGTGCCCGCCACCGTGCCTGGCTAATTTTTTGTATTTTTTTTTAGTAAAGACGGGGTTTCACCATGTTAGTCAGGATGGTCTCAATCTCCTGACCTCGTGATCTGCCCACCTCGGCCTCCCAAAGTGCTGGGATTACAGGTGTGAGCCACCGTGCCTGGCCGTGGATTATTTTTAAGAAATACAATTGGTGCTCCATATCTGTGGGTTCCACGTCCTCAACCAAACACGTATGGAAAATACAGTATTCGCAGGATGCAAAAACTGTGGATACAGAGGGCCGAATTTTTGCATTTGCACGTTCCACAGGGCCAACTACAAGACTTGAATATCGAGGGGACTGTGGGGGGGGTGGGTCCTGAAACCAATGCCCTGCAGATACAGAAGGACAACTGCACATAGTTAGATACTAAAAGAAAGCTACAATAGTTTAAAGTAGTTGCTTCTAGGGAACAGAAATCAAGAGCAGGTAGGTACAGGGTAGGAAACTACTGCTCTTCATCATAAACTTTACAGTATCATCTAAATTTGTGACACACACACACATATATATACACATACATAGTATATAATCAACATATAACATATGACTACATATAACAGAAATATTATGTCTAATATGACAGGCTACTTACAAACTGTATGAGCTTTACTTGTAATAACACCTTCCTGACATACTATAAGTATGACATGATATACTTCCGGACCTATGCCTTTACTGGTCTTCAGTCATACTCAGAACATATTAGTCAATACCTACATCATTTTCTTTGAAAAAAGTCTACTGAGGTAGATGGCAGTTTACCAAATAAAAATAATCTTAGTAAGCATATTCATTACTCTCTACCAAGACCTACTGTGATGTACTTCATAAACAAGAAATAACCTCACAAGTGTTCAATTTAGTAACTGATATTTTTCAGTAAACAAAATACATAGTAAAGAAAATATTTTATACATATTTTTAAAGTACATCTTTAGATGTCTGTGTGACATTTAGAAATGGCAAAATATAGACACGTAAGTACATATTACATTGAATTAGTCTGATGCTCTGTGTAATGCAGCTACACTTCTCTTGGCCTGGGGTTTTCAATTCAGGCTTCTGTCACAGTGATCTGTGAAGCTTTCTTTAAAAACAGAGCTGCCTGGGCATTTTCCTAAAGATTCTGCTTCACTAGATTTGAGGAAGAGCTTGGGAATCTGTGTGTGTTTGTTTGTTTGCTTGTTTAGCTCAGAGTTAACTCTCAAGTGCAGGCAGGATTAAGGACCCCTCTTCTAGAGTAGTAGTATGCTAAAAATCTGAATAAAAATTGAAACTATAACCATAAACATCCAATTACCTTCATACACTTTTTTACTTACACTGTTAGGAACGATGTTATTACTGCCTTGTCTGTGAGGGTCCATCCTGACTCCTGTAGGAATGAGAAAGGTTCAGACTGATATGCTCTTAATTAGCTTCAATAAAATATAATTAAATATTTTTAAAGTTACATATTAAAGTTTAAAAAGTAGTATCTTTACCAAAGGTTATATGTTTTCTTAATAGTTTGCTTAAGTTGACTGAAATTCTCTCTGGAAAAATGTGCAAAATTTGTGTTTGCTTTTACTTCCAAGGCCTATTTAGTTAAAAATACTTTTGAAAAAGCTGAGACATTTATGAAAGCAAATTAAAGCCAATCTGCTGAAGTCAAGTAATATGTCAAATTAGGGAAGTACATAAAAATGAACTGCAGAAAACACAATCTATCCTACGTTTCTATGTATTCTACTACATCATAATGGTAAGACAGCCAAGTTTCAGAACTGAAATACAATGTATTATCAGGCATGGACCTAATGCCATAAAATTTCTTAAACCAAACCTAATCACAGACTTTTATGCAGATATTCTACATATATATATATGTATACACCCAAACACACACCCCCCCACACACACATATATGTACTGCAGTATATGTGTGCGTGCATGTGTGTGTGTGTGTATTTTTTTTTTTTTTTAAGACAGAGTCTCGCCTGTTGCCCAGGCTGGAGTGCAGTGGCGTGATCTCAGCTCACCGCAACCTTAACCTCCTGGGTTCAAGTGATTCTTTTGCTTCAGCCTCCTGAGTAGCTGGGATTACAGGTATGTACCACCATACCCAGCTAATTTTTGTATTTTTAGTAGAGATGGGGTTTTACCATGTTTACCAGACTGGTCTCAAACTCCTGACCTCAGGTGATCCACCTGCCTCAGCCTCCCAAAATGCTGGGATTACAGGCGTGAGCTACCATGCCTCGCCTGCAGTATATATTTTTAAAAGCATGTGAGCACACATACTTTAAGCATGAAAATTATGTTACCTTGCATATTTGGTGCTGCTGAAGAATCTGATGATGCAGCTTGGTATGGCAAGTCCGTACTCAACTGCAAAAGATAGCCCTCAACTGTAGACACTTCATCCCACTTGACATGAAAGGAGTTGGTGGTGGCTTTGATCAGCTGTACTTGAGATGGTGCTGGTGGTTTCTCTATAGAATAATAAAGATATTATACATTTAAGTTTCCAGTGTATAAATGGTTTGCTGATATAGTTTGTTTGGACTGGAGCTTTGAAAACATCAGCAATGAACATCTGCATACCAAGACAGGGAAAGTTTACTCAGATAAACGCAGCTATAGTAGGTCAAATAAAAATAGTTTGGGGTTCTTATTCTATTTATTTATTTATTTTCTTGGACAAATATATCTATAAACAAAACAATCCAGTATAAAACTACCGAACTATTTGAGTCATCAGATTCGGAAATGTGTTTAATCCTAGAAGGAGTTTTTCTGGGGGAAGCTGGGAATCCTAGAAGGAGTTTTTTTTGAGGGAGGCTGGGGAGAGGCAAGGGGAGCCAAGTATTAAAGCTACATTATTTTATCTTTCTTAGAAGTTCTAATATTCTTTAATTTTATGAGCCAATTTTCAGCCAACAGCATACATGTTAGCAATTCTGTTAATGTTAGCAAAGATAACTTGGACATGATATTTTATAAAAGCATAACTTCTCTGAAATTAATACCCCCTTATCAAGACTTGTACTACCAGCTGGGCATGGTGGTTCACGCCTGAAATCCCAGCACTTTGGGAGGCCGAGGTGGGCGGATCACCTGAGATCAGGAGTTCAAGACCAGCCTGGCCAACATGGGGAAACCCTGTCTCTACTAAAAATACAAAAATTAGCCGGGCGTGGTGGCTGGCACCTGTAATCCCAGCTACTTGGAAGGCTGAGGCAGGAGAATCACTTGAACCTGGGAGGTGGAGGTTGCAGTGAGCCGAGATCGTATCACTGCACTCCAGCTTGGGTGGCAGAGTGAGACTCCATCTCAAAAAAAAAAAAAAAAAACAACGAATGGTGGGAGGAAGAGATAAATCCTCAACTTTCATAGCAGTAAGTGAGCACATTATTGTCTAAATGAAAAAAATATATATATCAAAGTAATAATATATGTATGTGATATAGAGATATGGAAGTTAATACCTAAAGAATCATTTAACAGAGTTAAGAACAAACAAATGCTTGTAAAGTAAGTAAAATGAGGAAAGGTGCGAGCAAAGAACTGTGATTTTTCATAGAAAGCCTCATGGAATTTTATTACTCTTTTACATGCTATCAAATGCACAAAGTTTAACTAAAAGTGAAAAACAAAACAAAACAAAACAAGATGAGCCCCCTCTTCCACCAAAACTGATGCTAACTTATCAAGAGGAAAAGCAAAATCTATATTTTGCCCTTATGATCGTGGCCATGATTACTTTTAGAATAATACTGATATCTAAAGCTTATTATGAAAAGGTTTATAGAAAAACAGGCCATTCAAATCCAATTTTTTAAATCTTTTTAAGTCATAGATCCCTTAGAGAATATGCTCAAAGTGATATAATCCCTACAGAGAAAATTCAGTCATACACTTTTTTTATCCAATTTCAGAGACTGAAGCTTATCCTTAGACTTCAGTTAATAATTTCCAATTTCCAACATGAACCAGTAAGTTCAATTTTCTATCTTTTTTTCTTGCTTGCTAGTACATGCTTCTTTCATAGGAAGCATTTACTCTCTTAATTGTTTCATTATTTTTTCAACTATCTTAATTTTAAAATTAAACTCTTTTTACATTACAAAAACAATACATGCTACTGTGGAAAATACAGACAAGTAATGACAGAAAAGCTTTGAAGAAAATGTATAATCTCAGCTCTCAGATAATGCTTTGGTGTGTGTCCTTCCAAGTTTTCTATTTATAATTTTGAAAATACTGGAGTCATTACATGTTTTATAATCTATTTTTCTCATGTAACATCACATATTACATCTCCACATCTAATTTCTCTAATGGCCACTAGATTCATCTATTCATTCAAATGCCTGCTTGATCTTATTTCAAATTTAGCATGGTCTAAATGGAACTCTTGACTTTCTCCACAATGTTATTTTCTCTCAGTCTTCTCTATCTCAGTAAAATTCAAGCTAAAAACTTCATCCTCCATTCTGTCGCTTGCCACACAAATTATCATCCGGTTCTGTCAATAAGAACTCCAAAATGTATCCTGAATTTATGCAGTCCTCCCCTCCTCCATTGTCACCACTATAGTCTAAAACACTTTTTTGACTACTGCAAGAGATTTCTAACGTGTCTTGCAGTGTGCACCTAGAATTCATTTTCCATACAACTGCCAGTGACCATTTCAAAATGTACATCAGAATGTGTCACATTTCTCCTTCAAACTTACACATAACTTCCTGCTGCACTTCAAAAATAACTTAGAAATTCTACCACCACATTCAAGGCCCTATGTCCTGTGGTCATCTCTCTAACCTCCATTCCTACACTTTCTTCTTTGTTTACCCAGTTCAGATCTGTTGCCAAACATGCCAAGTATTCCCATCTCAGACTCCTTGTATGTGCTGTTCCCTCTTCCTGCAGTGGTTTCTCTGGCCTTTTTATGTGGGTATCTCCTTCTCACCATTCGAATAACATCTCACGTCATCTCATCACAGAAGCATTTTTTGACTACCCACCCTGAAGCAGCCACCACTCCTGTGCCCAATACCTAACACCACTATCTCATGTATTCACATGATTAACAGAAACTGAACTTATTTTGTTAATCTGTTTCACTATTGCTCATTATCTCCTTGCTGTCATACCCCCTCAGAATGTAAGTTCTTTGTGAGAGCAGGGGCACTATCAGTCTTGTTTGCTGCTATATTCTCAGCATTTAGAACAATTCCTGCTACACAGCTGTCAATCAATATTTATTAAAAATTGATGTGAGGTACACATTTTTAAAAATTGTGGCGCTCTAATAATTTTTTTCCCCCTTTAGAGATGGGGTCTTGCTCTGACACCCAGGCTGGAGTGCAGTGGAGCAATCAGAGCTCACTGCAGGTAGACTCAGACTCCTGGGCTCAAGTGATCCTCTTGCCTCAGCCTCCCAAGAAGCTGGGACTATAGGCATGAGCCACTGTACCTGGCTAATTTTTTGTGTGATAGAGATGGGGGTCTCACTATGTTGCCCAGGCTTGTCTTGAACTCATGGCCCCAAGTAATCCTCCTGCCTCAGCTTCCCAAAGTGCTAGGATTACAGGTGTGAGCCACTGCACCCAGTCTCTATTTTTTAAAAATCTTTTATTTTAAAATAATTTTAGGTTTGCAAAAAAGTTGCAAAGATAGTACAGCATTGCCATAACCCCCTGGCCCCAGTTTTCCCTTTTCTCCAGCTTCCCCTAATATAAGCACATTTGTTAAAACTAAGAAATTATTGGTGTAATACTATTAACTCAACTATAGACAACTCAGATTTCACCAGTTTTTCAATTAATGTCTTTTTTTGTTCCAGGATCCAATCCAGAACACAACATCACATTCAGCTGTAATGTCTCCTTCGTCTCCTCCACTTTTTGATTATTTCTTAGTCTTTCCTTGTTTTCCTTCGCTTTGAAACTTCTGAATAGTACTGCTCACATATTCTTTGTAGAAGATCTAGAATGTCCCTTAATTTGGGATTGTCTGATATTTTCTCATAGTTAGACTGAGATTATGGATTTGGGAATACCACCGAGGTACTTTTACTTATCACATGATATTAGGGAGTAAATGATACTAACTTGACTTATCACTAGTGATATTGACCTTGATCACTTGATTAAGGTAGTACTTGCCAGGTTTCTCCTGCTTGCCAGGTTTCTGTAAAGCTACTATTTTCCCTTTCCATACTCTATTCTTTGCAAAGGAGTCTTTAAATCCAGTCTACACTCAAGGAGAGGATAATTATATACTTCTCAGGAGTGGAGAATAACTACACATATTGTTTCTTCTATTCATACTTAATTATGGGAAACAGAGGTAGTAGCATTTACAGTAAGTCTCAAAAGGCAGACATTTGAGTGCTTACCTAAAGGAAAAAGTTTATTTGTTAACTATTCTTACCTACCAGTATCAAGATACCAAAGATCCTTGCAGCAAACTTGACTATTCAGTGCTTTTTTGTAGCCATCTCTTCCACTCCAAAAATACAATCGAGTGCCAATTGCAACAGCGCAGTGGCCAGCTCTTGGTCTTGGTCTTGAATTTTTTTTATCTTCCTGAGAATCTGATACTAGGGTGGTCCACTCTGTTGTATCTGAAAAGATAGAAATATCCATGACTAATCTTTTTTCTTAACAAAATTACAAAAATTACCTTATTAATAAAGTTTAATTCAATGAGTAACTCTTAAAAAACTCACCCAGATTTAGGTAAGAAAATGAACTGGTACATCTCCATTCACAATCATGAGGTGAAGTCTCAGTATTTTCCCCCTTATGTGGGACCCATCCACCAAAAATGTACATCCTGAGCAACAACAAAACAAAAACATAAAGTAGCTTATTTCATTTTACTTCTTGGATTTGAAGTGCGAAGAATAGAAAACTCTCCTATCAGTTGACTCAGAGCTTCAGAACTATTCATTCACTTACCATTGTCAAGGTAATGGGAATAAGAAGATGAATAAAGTGGTCTTCTTTCAAGAGTTTACAATTTTATGAAGCAATACAGAATCACAATTGTTTCTCTCTGGCAAGTTACTTAAAGTGAAGAATATTTTGATTATAATATATTTAAAAATCAATATTGCCTATAATATACTAAGGGTACCTCAGTCAGAAAGATACTCAATTGATCTATGACATCCAAAGTCAAATTTAAAATTGTATGCATATAGTAACCAAAGAGGATTAAATTTCATATAACTTTGGTCATTGATATCACTTAAACAAAAAACTTTAAACTGTGTTCCTTTAGGGCCCTAGGAGTTCTTAAGACAAGCCTGATGGCTGCTGGAAGAGAAAGGCTCATCAGGCAGAAATCAGGGCCCATGTGACCTGATGTCAACCAGAGATCTATTTTTTTTTTATGCCAATCAGAGATTTTTTTTTTTTTTTTTTTGAGACAGGATCTTGTCCTGTTGCCCAGGCTAGAGTGCAGTGGCATGATAATGGTCCACTGCAAACTCAACCTCCTGGGCTCAGGCCATCCTTCCACCTTGGCCTTCCAAAGTGCTGGGATTATAGGTGTGAGCCACCATGCCCGGCCAGAGCTCTATTTTTTAAAATCCATTTTATATGTTGGGGTTTCAATGGAAAATTACATTTTATAAAATGGCTCTTCAGTTAAAAAAATGTATAAAAATGTATAAGATTTTGTTTAAATGTAAAGAACATCCTGTTTGGTTTTGAGTTTATTTTAAAAAAAAACAAACTAGGTTCTAAATTACAACAATCATTTCCTAAAATATTACATTTAAGGTAGAATCCCTGAAATAGTAACTATTTCATTAAATTCTGATTAAACAGTATTCCTAATTGTGGCACAATGTTGCACAAATAAGGGAATTTGTTGATGGTAGTAATAGCCAACATTTATGGAGTGCTCACTTCATACCAGAAACTGTTCTAAGCATTTCATATGTATTAATTCATTTAGTCTTCATTACAGCCTTGTCAAGTAGGTTTTACTTTAATCCACATTGTATACTTAAGGAAAGTGAGGTACAAACATATTAAATTTTCTTGCCCCAGGTCATACAGGACAAGTGCCAAAGCTGAGTCTTGAATTTAGGCCATCTGGTTACAGAGTTTGTATTCTAACCATCAACTCTATATTGCCATCTAAAGCATAATCATTAAGAGCATGTGCCTCAGTACAAATGAAGCAATACCAAAAATATGAAAAAGGAAACAGTGAGTTAGGTGATTAGTTTGGCAACACCCAGGTTTACACTTACATAAAGCCTACTCTGGGCAAGGCATTATAAGGAATGCAAAGAAGTAAAAGAGAGAGCATAAGAAAATGGCATATTAAGTATTTTTGCTTCTACAGACAAATTATTTTAGCTCCAGTAAGCACAATCAAACTTTATTAACCTTCATAATCTATTTCTAAGAAACTACTAGCGTTACTTTCTTTGTGTGCTTCTTAAGTTGTTTTTATAAAAAAAAAAAACAGAAGCAAAATACAAAAAACCACCATACTTGTTTCCTATAACACTGGCTGTATGAAGGCTTCGTGGAAGTGGCACTGTCCCTTTAGTTTCTGGTTTTGACCATGACATAGTTTCTAAAAGTAAAAATAATTATATTAGCAACTTGATCTAACAACAGTAAATTACCTCAACTTGCATAATTTCAAAAAATAAAACAAGGACTTACCAAAATGAAACAAAGTATTTTAAAACAATTATTTGAACATTATCTTAAACATTTCCAGCTTACATAAACTGCCAATCAGAAATCTATTTATACTTAATGTTAGTACAGTTAGCCCTCTGTATCCATGGGTCCTGCATCAACAGATTCAATTAACCACAGATTGAAAATATTCACAAAAAACTTTGGTTGCACTGAACATGTTTTCTTTTTGTCATTATTCCCTAAACAATACAGTATAACAACCATTTATATAGTATTTACATTGTATTAGGTGTTATAAGTAATCTCAAGTGGAGATGATTTAAAGTATATGGGAGAATATGCAAATATTACACCACTTTATATCAGGGACTTGAGCATCCATGGATTTTGGTATCCAGGATATCCATGGTATTCAGGAGGTCCTGAATAAATCCTCCACAGATACTGAGGGATGACTGTATTTGTAATAAATAAGTGTGCTTAGGGTACTACCAATTTTGAATTAAGAATATTAGAGATTTTATCATTTAAAGTAAGAGTACACTGGACAGAAGATAGTCAAAGGTGAGAGGCACACTACCCTCCAATCATTCATTCCTAAGATCCCTTTAGAGAGAACTACTTTAGGGTTTTCTACTGACCACGAATAACATTGTTAATGCTACATTCCTGTAGATAAGGTAACCACATAAAGTTATCATCCTGTACAGGACATTTTTCAGAGTGAAAGGGAGTATTGTACTATTGATAATTACATAAGACAATAAGCATAAACCAGAATCATCCCAGGTAAACCAGGACATACAGTAACCCTGTTTACAGAACGCACAAGAGAGTTACTATCATAAACCAAACATTCATTTTCTCAATCTGATTTATCAGCAACCATTCATATCACATATCAGCTGTCCCTGGGGCCACAAGTGCTAGTTATAAATCTAAGTACAACTCAATAAATACTGCAATCAATAATATTTTTCAAAGCATCTTTTAATTTGCCTTATTCCTGAGCCTGAATCAAGTTAAACTTACCTAAGTCAAGCTGCCATAGGTCATCCAGGCGAGCACCACACATTCCACCAAAAACATACATTTTCGGACCTCCAGAATCTTTTTTGCAATATATAACAGCTGTGTGGGATTCTCTTGGAGAAGGCATAACCCCTTTAGTCACTGGAATGCTCCAACCCACAACACCAGAGCCATGCTGTAGCTCCAACTCATAAAAATCATTTAAATATCTAGAATATCATAGGAAAAATTAAAATATTCAGATAATATATACCCTTTCTTTGCATTTTATTTCTATTTATAAAGATAAAATGTGCTTACTATGAAAAGTTCATATAGTACAGAAAGGCATTAGGAGAGCAGAAAACCCCAAACCTCATTCATACAATACATACTTATCAAACACTACTATGTACCAGGCACTCTTCTGGAGCTCAGTAGTGAGCAGAAGAGATTAAGAATAATTCCTGTTATCATTTAGCCAACACTCTTATCAATGACAACTTGCCAACTGTTGGTGTTAAAACATAGCTACAAATCCTCTGACACTCTTCCCATCGGGAAGTTGGGTCTATGTTCCCTTCCCTTGATTCTGGACTGGTTTGTGATTGCTTTGATTAATAGGGTATGTGACTTCTGAGGCTGCGTCACAGAAGGCCTAAACGGCTTAAGTAGAACACTTACTCTTGGAATCCTGAACCACCATGTAAGAAGTTCAACTCCCATAAAACTACCATCTGGATGGCCATATGCAGGTATGTAGGGTGACAGAACCAGCTGAGTCTGTCCTTCAGCCATTGCAGTTGAGGCATCAGGCACAGAAGTAACCCCTTCAAGACTTCTCAGCTGAGGGCCCAGCCATCCCGCCTGTGGCCTATCTAAATTCCTGACCCACAGAATCCATGAACATAATCAAATGGTTATTATTCTGCATCACTAAATTTTGGGGCAGTTTACTGTATGGTACTAGATAACCAGAACAATCACTATTGAAAATATTTTGGTAAATATCCCTTAAGACACCTCTGTCTATGGATAAACACATATGGATAAATGAGGCATACTAAAAATACTGCTTTGCAACCTTTAAAATTTTCATTATAATGTCATAGCAATGTCCTACATAGTTTTTAACTTTAGAAACTGGCACTAAGTTTCATGGATGTTTTTGAAGTTTTGAGCAAAATGACTTTTGTAGAAATTTATTTCCTACAAAATTATTATTCAAATGTAAGGGCAAATATTAAAACATTTCAGGACATATAAAACTTCAAAGTTTAGCTACATAATTGTTTTGGGGAAAATAATTCTAGGATGTTATCTAGGAAAAAGAAAAAGAAATATAATACTTTGAATAGGCCTGGCGTGGTGGCTCATGCCTGTAATCCCAGCACTTTGGGAGGCTGAGGCGGGAGGATCACGAGGTCAGGGGATTGAGACCATCCTAGCTAATACGGTGAAACCCAGTCTCTACTAACAAAAATACAAAAAATTAGCCAGGCATGGTGGTGGGCGCACCTGTAGCCCCAGCTACTTGGGAGGCTGAGGCAGGAGAAAGGCGTGAACCTGGGAGGCAGAGCTTGCGGTGAGCCGAGATCACACCACTGCACTCCAGCCTGGGTGACAGAGCGAGACTCCGTCTCAAAATAAATAAATAAATAATAAAGAAATAATACTTTGAATAAGAGAAATGGTAGTAATTTGTGGTTACATCTAAACTGATGTTGAAATCTGTGGTTATGAGATCTAAATAACCACTAAGAAAAATTTACTACTAAGTTAATTTTTAAAATTCATCATAACCTGGATTAAGATTCAAAAATACATGGAACATACAGAAAAATGAAGTAGGCAAAAGAATGTTAAAATAAAGACAGTAATTTATTCCCAAGGTTGACAGGATATTTTCATTGTAAATGTGAGTTAATTTCCAAGCAACTAAGCTATGCACAAAATTAGCACATATAATTCTCAGATCACTATAGGGAAATAGTCAAAGAAAAATAATAAACAGGGGAAAAGTAAAGAAATGAGGAAAAAGGCAAAGTATAGTATATAGAAAGCAGTTAATAAGATAGTTTAAAAAAAAAAAACAGGCCAGGGCCAGGCGCTGTGGTTCACACCTGTAATCTCGGCAGTTTGGGAGGCCGAGGGGGGTGGATCACCTGAGGTTAGGAGTTCAAGACCAGCCTGGCCAACATGGTGAAACCCTGTCTCTACTAAAAATACAAAAATTAGCTGGGCGTGGTTGCGGGCGCCTGTAATCTCAGCTACTCAGGAGGCTGAGGCAGGAGAATCACTTGAACCCGGGTGGTGGAGGTTGCAGTGAGCTGAGATCACACGGCTGCAGTCCAGCCTGGGTGACAGAGCAAAACTCCATCTCAAAAAAACACAAAAAACGAAAAACCCCCACCATAAACAATGTCAAAAGAAAAAAGGACAAACTTAAAAAGTTTAGCACACGTTGCAGAAAAAAAGGTCAAATTTTCCTAAAAACCAAGATAATGACCACTCACACAATAGACACAGATAAAAAGATAGAAACTGACAGTTCACAGAACAGGAAATAAAAATTACATAAACATATATATATACACACACACAGACACAGATGTATAAACATGCACGTACACGAACACTCATATACATATACATATGCAAATGTTTTCCATCATCACAACTTAGCAAAAAATCTGGCATAGGCAAGAAAAGGGAGGAAGGGCAACAAAGCAGAGTAGATGGAAAACACAAAACACAAGGGCAGAATAAAACTGCCCTATTATAAGACAAAGTCTGGTCAGGGTTGATGGTGGGGGCAGGAATACAGAGGAAACAAAATACAAGAACCCCAAATCTAAGTATAAGTGATGAAAATCAAGGATAATATTAAAACTATCTTAAACTAATGTGGAATAGGCTTAAACTGTTGAGAATGGACATCAGCCAGTATGCTATCCAGTTCATACTGGCTATTAGCCCCATTTACAAAAAATAAATCTACAACAAAACAGTGTACACAAGTTGAAAATTAGATATACAAGAAACAAAACACAAATCCACAATCATGGTGGGAGACTTGAGCATGTCACTCAAAAGTTGATAAGACCTAGACTCACAAAATAAAAAAGCTTTGAACATTTATTTAATAGAGCCAGGTGCAATGGCACATGCCTGCAGTCCCAGCTACTCAGGAGACTGAGGTAGGAAGATTACTTGAGCCTAGGAGTTATCCAGCCTGAGCAACATAGCAAGATCACATCTCTAAAATCAATAATAATAAATACATAAAACATTGATTTAATAGATAAACAACCTTGCACACAGTCAAGAACTCATGGTCTTAATGAGCACCTATGGAATCACAAAAATTGACTGTGAAATAGACACAAACATCTTTATAGACCACATTTCCTGACCACAATATAATAAAACTAGATATTGGCAATAATAACAAAACTTTCCACTTGGAGATCTTTAAAAAATTGTAGCAAATTACTTTTAAAGAGAAAATAGAAATCAATGACAATAAAAGCAGTATGTATCAAACCCTATGGGATACGGTCAAAGACATAATCACATGAAAATAACACTGAAAAATGAACTGAGGAGCATTCAAATTATTAGAAGTTAGGAAAAGCATTCAAACTACTAGAAGTTTAAAAGATGCTGGGCATGATGGCTTAAGCGGGTAATCCCAGCACCTTGGGAGACTGAGGTAGGAGGACTGCTTGAGGCCAGGAGTTCAAGACTAGCCTGGACAATCTGGCAAGATCCTGTCTCAACAAAAATTTTAAAAATTAACCAGGCATGGCTGCATGTGTCTATAGTCCTAGCTACTCAGAAGGCTGAGGTGGGAGTATAGCTTGAACCCAAGAGTTCAAGGCTGCAGTAAGCTATGATTGTGTCACCACACTAACCTGGGTGACAGAATGGGATCCTGTTTCTAAAAAAAAAAAAAAAAAAAAGGTTAGGAATAAAAGTTGAAAGAAATGGAATAGAGTTAAAAAGTTTAAGAAAATAAACTAAAAAGAAAAACAGTCAATAAAACTAAAAAACGGCTCTTCGAAATAAATAAAATAACAAATCACTAGCAAGTCTGATTAGACAATACTAACACTTAGGGATAAGAAAAGAGATATAACAACGGATATAGAGATTTTAAAGATAGAGAGAATTGTCTTTATAACTTTAAAACATTTTTAAATAAATAAATTTAAAAAATTTTTAAGACAGGGCTCATTACATTGCCCAGGCTAGATTTGAACTCCTGGGTTCAGATGATCCTCCTGCCTCAGACTCCCAAGCAGCTGGGACTATAGGTGTGTACCACCACACCTGGCTATCTTATAACTTTTAGAAATAAATTTAAAAATCTAGATAAATGGGTAACTTCTCAAAAAAAAAAATTACCAAAAATTACAAAAGGTTGAAAACCTAAATAGACCAATACTCAAAGATGAAATTGAAAAGGCAATCAAAGATCAAATACCAATCCCAGGTAAATATGGAAAATTTCTACTAAATATTCAAGGAATTACATTATTTAAATATAATAAAAGATGGAGGGCTTTCCATGACCTCAGAACATAACCCTGATTATGTTTTCAAGGATAACATAATCCTGATACTCAAATCAGATTACAATAGCACCCTACTCCCCCAAATAACACAGGCAAAATCGCTAATAAATATAGGTATTATAAATAAATGTTAGAAATGTGATTCAGCAAAGAAAAAATTCACAAAATTCATGGATTAAAGGAGAGACACAATAAGCTCCAAAATGAATTTAAACTACCTCAATATACATTTCTTGTTAAAAAGAGAAAAATAAAACTAATAAGCTGGAAATTTAAGAACATTTTGGCCAGGCATGGCAGCTTACGCCTATAATCCCAACACTTTGGGAGGCCAAGGTGGGAGGATCACTTGAGCCCAGGAGTTCAAGACCAGCTTGGGCAACATGGAAAGACTTGTCTCTACGAAAAAGAAAAAAAAAAGTTTTAAAATTAACTGGGCATGGTGGCATGCACCTGTGGTCCCAGCTAGCTACTCAAGAGGCTGAGGCAGGAGGGCTGTCTGAGCACAGGAGGTCGAGGCTGTAGAGAGCTGTGATCATGCCACTGTACTCCAGCCCCAGGTGACAGAGTGAGGCTCTGTCTCAAAAAGAAAAGAAAAGAAAAATGTCCTTAATGTTATTAAAATCACATACCAACAACCTATAGCAATG